GAATGACTTCTTATCACCTGAAGGACACCTTAGTATATGAAATAAAAGTTAAAAAGAACAAAGAAAAAGTGTGTATGGGGGAATTTGTTAAAAAGGGTAGTCAAAAGATGAAGCATATAATATCTTATATAAAAGTCACCCTCTCCCTGTAAAGACACTTGATTACCAATCACAAACCAAAGAAAATTAAGAATTCATTTCCTAAGGTAAAGAAGATCAAGATTAGAAGCCTTACAAGCAATCTTAAAAGAAGAGAAATGCTTTGTCCATCTCTTGATAAAAGGTCAGTATTCATCAAAGTTGGTTGAACCTCATTTGCATGTAGTTTTGCATGAGGAATTGGTGTTAAAGGAGTCGCAAGAGTTTCTAGAGCCCCCTGAACCTTTGACAATAAATCAATATATATACCATAAATATGATTTAAAAGAACACATAAAGAGGTGACACCTACCACACACACCCATGGTTCCAAGACTATGTGTTCCTAGTCAGGCTTCCTAGACACTTACTTGCAGTTTATATTTGTTATGGACTAATTCTTATATATATATATATATATATATATATATATATATATATATATATATATATATACACAATAGAAATGCACCAACCAGAAACAATGTTGCAAATGAAAAACCATTTGAGATTCACATAAAAAAAATTGAAAAAAATAGTGTTATTATAGGAGATGACATTTTATCGAACACCTGGTGGGCTTCTTTTAATATAGTTGCAAATGTAAAACCATTTGAGATTCACAAATCATTCACATTATGTGGAAACACATACTCAAACTGAATCATAAATGAACTTTGAGTCAAATGAATTAGTCTCCATTCTTCAAAGATCAAACTTCCAACAATAGGATATATAATAACTTTTGAGTTATAGTTTTCTGAATTTTAGAGATTCAGATTAAATCAGAAAACTTGGAAGAAAAAATTAAGAGAGGAAATCAACTAACAGTTGGTTGTCTTGAGAAAAGGAAGTCGTTTGAAATATCATAAAAAGAAATCGTTGTCTCGCTCGGTCATTAGGGTGTAAGCCCGGAACCAATTGAAATAAACCCACTTTGCCCATCTTCGTAATAGGAGTCAATGATTCAATAAGTTGAGAAGAATCGAAGGAGTCGCATCTTTTTCCCATCTTAGTAATAGGAGTGATCAACCAAGTCGTTGATGTTACTGCCCCCATGTAGAGTACAACCTGATAGCCGATAAGGTCTGAGGAAGAAAGCAAGCTCATTTAACTTGAAACGACGCCGAATAATTCTTTTGGGTACCTAACCTGTATACCCTTAAGGGTATATTCACTTTTCACACACACACACACGCACGCACACACACACACACACACACACACACATATATATATATATATATATATATATATATATATATATATATATATATATATATGCGACAGTTCAAATAAAAACAATAAATAGTGTGAGAACGTAAAAACAATTTTTTAAGTTATTATTCTGCAATGAATTTTGTATCGATAACTTTATGTCATTATTCAGCAAACAATAAATGAATAGTCAAAGGTTAAAATTAAAATTACAATTTACTACAAAAATGCACATACATAAGTTTATAATAGAATAATAACGTTGTAATGAATATATAACTAATTGAAAGTTAATATTTATATTAGAATTAGTTCAACAATACAGATATACAAAATTCATTACAGAATAATAACATAAACATAGTGTTTTTACATTCTCACACTATTTGCTGTTTTTATTTGAACTTATATATATATATATATATATATATATATATATATATATATATATATATATACTAGTTTATAACCCGTGGGAACCACAGTTACAAAATTAATTAATTTTTTATAGTAAAAATGCAAAATTATTAATTAATTATTTTAAATAAATTAACAATTAATATATTTTTTTAGTTATATAAATTTTAATCATTGATTTAAAAAATATGTGAAATTATATCATTTTATAAATTGTATTAATTTTATTTTAATTTTTATTCTAATGTTATTAATTTAATGTAATTAAAATCGAAAATTTAAAATTTAAAGTTTGAAATGGAGTTGGCAAGTAGAATGCATTAATTATGAAACATAATAGGATAAACAAAAGAAGAATAAATATGCATTAATTAGAAGGCCTAATAGAATGATACATGTCAAAAGGAGAATAAAACTATTGTTTTATTATAATACTAGTTTATAACCCGTGGGAAACACGGTTATAAAATTAATTACATTTTAATAATATAAAATCAAAATTATTAATCAATTATCTTAAATAAATTATTAATTAAGAGATATTTTTTTAGTTATACAAAATTAATATCGTTGATTTAAATAAACACGTAAAGTTATATCACCTTACAATAAGTATAATTTTATTTTATTTTTCAATCTAATGTTATTAATTTAATATAATTAAAGTGAGAAAATTTGAAATTTGAAATTTAAAATGAATTACATTTTAATATTATAAAATCAAAATTATTAATCAATTATCTTAAATAAATTATTACTTAAGAGATATTTTTTAGTTATATAAAATTAATATCATTGATTTAAATAAACACGTGAAGTTATATCACCTTATAATAAGTATAATTTTATTTTATTTTTCAATCTAATATTATTAATTTAATATAATTAAGTGAGAAAATTTGAAATTTGAAATTTAAAATGAAGAATCAATTATTAATTTAATGTAATTATAATGGGAAATTTAAAATTTGAAATTTAAAATTTGAAATGGATAATCAAATATTAATTTAATTTAATTAGAGTGGAAATCTAAAATTTAAATTTAAAATGTGTAGTTAATAGGTTGACAAATGGTGTGATATGTGATATATAACATTAATGACGAGTTATAATTGTATAAAACACTTGTCAATAGAAGATTAAACCTATTCTTTTATTAGAATAAGAATATATATATATATATATATATATATATATATATATATATATATATATATATATATATATATATATATATATATACTAGTAAGGTACCTGCGCGATGCGGCGACGCCCGTTAGTCCTTTCGGCAGAGAGTTTTATGCAGTGATTAGTTTTCTTTTCATGTTAAATAGTTCATTTCGGCCATTTAGTCGGATAGTTTCTTTCGACGAATAGTTTCTAGCTAGATACATAGATGTGGGGGTTAAATATTTAGTATGTTGTGTTATCTATTGCTCCAGTTTTTATTATGCAATTATTTGGTATGGGTTGCATAAAATGAAATTGACAAAAGTATATTGAAAAAGTGATATGTTGTGCAAAATGGATGATGAATCTGGTTTAGTCTGATGATTTTCTGTTAAAAATAAAATGACGTTGTTTTTTTTTTTTTTTTTGTTAATAATAAAAATATACTACATTCTTGTGATTGGTTTTATCTTTTGAATATCATATATCAAAATTTTCTCAAATAATCAAGAAGCATCATTAAACTTTAGTGATTAGTATGTTTGTAGATGTGCACATTAGATAGTTTCTTTTTGCATTGTAGCGGTAAGACATTCATATTGTGAAATCTTCTATTACAGTATAATATTTACTACTATTATTATAAGATATCAAACATGGATGATTTTGAATCTACCATAAAAAATGTTTATTACAATAATCGTTGATAGTTTTTTTTTTTCATTTTTATCGACATTAGAATTTACCAAATACTTTTTGTATTTTCCATCTTATATTATATTATTAACTCGTTTATACAACAAAATTTCATTTTACTCTTCAACTTGTACTTAAACTTTAAATATTTATTATATTTGGCTAATTATTAAGTTTGAAGAAATTTAGTTATAAAAATATAATTCAAAACAACATAAAAGATTGTTTTGTTTGTAATGGCGATGCTACTAAGCAAACACGACTCCTAGCCACATTACGGGAATTTGAGATTATATTTTTAATAAATTAAATAAAAAATATCATTAAAAAATTAAACTTTTATATTTAATTGTAATTTTTGTTTATAAACATAATATTAATTACTATAAAATTATATATAATATTTCACATTTTTTGTTAGTTACATTGAACAAAAAGTAAAAAGACTACCCACATCATCTCATATATATATATATATATATATATATATATATATATATATATATATATATATATATATATATATATATATATATATATATATATATATATCAAATACATTTGAATAAATTATAAAACAATATTTAATGAATTGTTGTCGTTTTAGTCTAAAGTTGAATCGTTATTGAACCTTTTAATTTAGTACCAACTACTCACAATCAATGCTCATTGAAATTTCTTCAATTTACAATTACAAAGGGTGATGATGTCAAAACCATGGAAAAAACAATTAAAAAGCTAAATACAATAACAGACTCAGGAAAAGATGGTGATGATGTCAGCCAAATCTAAAAACAAAAAACATGAACTTTGTTAGATATATGTATCTAATCTGTTAACAACCAAGTTTTGGTTGTTAATATACTCAAATAACAATACGCTTGGTAGGTAACCTTTACTGATAATCATCCTTTTAAATGAAGTAAGATATCATCATCTATTTATAATAGCAACAAACATCGGACAAATCTAATAAGCCAACAATTGTAATCTTTGACCAACTTTGTAGACAACAGGTTTGCGCCTTCCATTTACCATAAGCCAAACAATGGAACTACAATAATTAGGAAATTAGCACACCATGTATTAAAAAAAAATAATAGAGAAAAGTCATTATTTTTAACTACATACTTTATGTCAAAATTTCCTCAAGCAAGAATTTTGGAAGCACCAACTGAGGCAAAAACAAGAAGCACAAACATAACTTGAAGACATTAGGGAGAGATTGGTCCAATAACAACGTGATTAAAACACGGCTAGCAACCACATTACGGGAATAAATCAAATGGAAACCACAAAATCAGACACATTAATGAAATTTTGCCCAAAACTTCAAGGGCATTTTAGTCAAAACTCGCACT